TATTAATTAAACGTATATATATATATATATATATATATACATACATATACCTGTTTACGAGCTAGTTCAGTCTGTACCTGATGGTACCTTTTAATGGCTAAACCATGGTCGTAACAAACGACACATTTGTGAAACGCTCGGTTTTACTCAATTCTGTAATTATGGAGTTTCAAGTGTTAATTAAGTAGAGAATATTTAATATCGAACCCTTTGGTTTTATTATAGAAACTGAAAAGTAGAGGGCTCTGAAAACGACCAAACTTTGGAGAAAAAGAGTCATTTAAAATGATTACCATCATTTCTTTTTGATACGACCCAAGGACGATAGAAAATGTATGTTGTTTATTGGAAATTATGATATTACTTGTCTCATTACGTCCAATCCTTTCATGACAAGACCAATACTTAAAACGTTTTATTATGCTTTCATTCACAGAAGCGTATTAAACCCTAGCCTAACGAGATATGCTCGAGTACACTCTTCCCAGTATCCAGCAGTATAATCGCAATGAAGGAAATCATCAGACGCTCGTTCTTGAGTGTACTTCAATAAACTCTAATAGTCTGTAAGAGAGTTCTCTTAATGTATATTTTTACTACAACTTCACTTCACGAAAAATTTACTGACACCTGAAATACTAGAGAACTATCTGGGTGTGAGAGTACTGAAGGTTGTCACCTGTCTGACCCATACAGGTAAGTGATGCAAGAAATAGTTTTAAGTGATGATTTTCTATTTGTTAAATAACGTTACTTTAACTATTATGTTCATTTGGACAAGTAAAGTTATTAGTTCGTTAGTGAGAAGAATATTGCATAACGTATATAGGGTCGAATTATCAAATTTAAAACCATAAAGCTCGTTAAAGGAAATCTTAAAACATAACAAAAGAAATGAAATGTTTTAGTTTCTTTTTTCACTGCTAGATGGCTCACGCTACTTTTAATACTGAAAACAACAGTACTAGAGCCAATCCATTTCTCGATTACACAGGCCTGTGAATTTAAACTTCATAAAAGTTGTTTTAATAACGGAGATTTCGAAAATAATATTCATTTTTTTCTATCACGTAAGGATATTTTGTAAATCTGGAAGAAAAAAAACTGTTATTTAGATTAAATTATTTTTTCGTTTACCACAATTAAAATTTTTTATTATTATGCACGTCCTTTCAGCTGTAGGGGGGTTATAAAGTGACGGTCAATCCCACTATTCGTTGGTAAAACAGTAGCCCAAAAGTTGGCGGTGATAACTAGTTGCCTTCCCTCTAGTCTTACACTGCAAAATTAGGGATGTCTAACGCAAATAGCCCTTGTGTAGTTTTGTGCGAAATTCAAACCTTTACAGTAGGGCGAGTGCGACCCAATGGTTATCGAGTTGTATTTGGGAGTTGAGGTTCTGTGGTTGGCATCCTGTTACCGTAAAAAGAAATCGTGTTCATCTCTTTAGATCCGTGGGTACATTACAAGAACAATGGTCAATCCCACTATTTGGCCTAGCAAGAGTAGCCCAAGCGTTGGCGGTGGACGGTGTTGGTTTAACACTATGGAATTATGGACGAATATCTCGTATAGCCTTCGAGTAGTTTTGCACTACAGATAAGCAAATTATATTTTGCCATACCCTCTGGTGTCTAATTTAAACTATTGTTATAAGCTATATACATTTATTAATATTGTAATTTAAGATGTTAGTTAAAGGGCTCGTGATCGAAAAGTTTAATAATTCAGGCGTAGAAAAGTTAACAATTTTTAACGTCATATTTTCTAGTACATTCGAGGAGTAGGCTATAAATAACAAGGTTCAATGAAACATCTGGAAGAGAGAGTTATTTCTATTCGGTATGGTAAATTTGTCAAAGAGCATTTTTTGTTTCAGCTAGCGATGAATCAGTCAGTGTTTTGTTTCCAGATATTTGATCGACCAGCTGTGGAGTTGTACAAAGAAGTTAATATTTACTGGCTATAAACATGGCGTATAAGTTACCATAGTATCTGAGCTTGTTAAAACGTTAAGGAATAATTAAATTAATTCGCTTATCGTTACGTAGACTGGACTTTGAAATATTTTGCCAGTTAATTTAAAAGAACCCGCCAACGAAAGAACAACGTTGCAATACTATTGTTGCGTCAACGAGGTCACATGACTAATGTCATGCCACCTCTCGAACCTTCGGGAATAGTCGGGAGATTACTAGATATAGGGTAGTCTGGTATATATATAAGAGGGTGACAACGTGACGATAGTGTGTATGTAGGTAATGAGTAATTGAACTGCAGTCAGAGAGAGACGTATTGTTGAAGTTAATTCGTTGTTATAGCCTTTGTTTTAGCGCGATTGTTGAAATTAAGTGTATCGTAAAATTATATTCGGAAAGAATAAACCAGTTTTATTAAGTAAGGACTTGTGTCGCTAAAGTTTCGTCGGAACGAAGTTACGGAAAGTTAATTAACAAACGGAGACGTAACACTATATGGAAATCTTTATCGAAAAACTAGATTACTATTGTTACGAAAGCGGAAGTCACGTGACGCTGCTGGCGCGTTGGCGCTGGTGGGCGTGCGTGATAAGTTTCTCGAATGATCGGGGAAGTCCGCATGTGTTCGAGATGCCCTCTTCGTTAGTATATAAGCCTGGCAGAGAAAGCCAACAGGTATATATGAATGATTTGTTTTGTTTTATAATTAAGCAT